CCCCCCACCTGTGTAGCAGATTTCCACTTTACTCTCTCTCTCTCTATGTTGATCATATTCAATATTACGACAAAAGACCCCACATTATTATTTGGAATTTTCCACAATATTCAGACCCGCCAGAAAGACATCATTAGATGATTTGTTTTCTATTGCTGATTATGAAGAGCATATAATGTCATGTGGCTGCAATAGCGGAATAGAATTTGGATTTCTGATATTTTAGTAATAAGCCTAGAGGGATTACTGCCAAAAGCCCCTGGGTTCTGAGATTGGTTTGTGTGCCTCTGGGATCATAGTCATTCAGAAGCTGGAGGAGGCGTTTGAGGGTGGCAACCCGGGGCATTGTCATGGCAGGGAGCAGGGCCGATTTCACCCCCCATCCCACGAGACCCCACGTGCCTCGTCAATGCAGTCTATATCTAGCTGTTCATTAGGCTCTAAAAGATGCAGGCCACCATGCCACCGCTGCAAGGGGAGACAGGTGGAGGGACAGACACCCTTCCCCTCCCAGGGTGGCATAGCACTGTAGTTAAATGCACAGTCCAGATGCATTTGGGTTGGGCATTACATTTTGCTCAGATTTTCCCACCACCATTCAAGCCTGTCTTTCAGGGACAAATGCTAGATCATTTACTTTCCATTGATCACTTTGCACATCAGGAAATGTCGCTTGGCTGCTTATGCGCGACATTTATCGTCCTGGTACCCACATACGGAGCCATGCTTGTAGAAGCTCATGGTCGCTGGGATTCCATCTGGAGAAGGCGGGGAGTCAGCACCTACCCCATCTGGGACCTCCCGGTGATATCTATTCACCCATTCATTTGTGCATGCGTTCATTCACTTGGTCATCATGCATTTCCTTATTCACTCATTTGTCTACCCATTCATTTACTCATTCATTCATTCATTCATTCACGCATTCATTTATTTACTCATTCACTCAGTTCTACTGAGGTATCATTTACTAGACTACAAGTACTTGAAACTTCAGGGGTACAGTGTTGCTACACCTTGTCTACCCCCAAAATGTCACTAACCCTTCACATAGCCCATCAGGCCCCTTAGCTCTCCCCCACTTCTTAGTGAGCTCCATTCTGTGGTCAGAGTCTTGTTTTCCATTTGATGTTTTCTGTTCCCTTTGTTTTCTTTGTTTCTTTAGATGGGGGTGGGGAGGAGAAAGCCTACCCAGTAGTGATTGGAGGACCAGGCGGTGTGGGGGAGTCGAACCCAGGTCTTCCACATGAGATGCCTGAACTTAGCCTGTTGAGTCTTCCTCCTGAATAATTTAGATTTCATCTGCTTTTAACAATGGGAATTAGTTGACCTTTCTTGTATATTATAAGCCTCTTTCCTATTCTCTTTGGTGTTATAAATTTAAGGCTTTAAGAGAAACCTTGGAAGGCAGCTATGCTAGCCACTATACCACTACCGAATGTAATCTGCTCACACGGCAGAGTCTGGCAAACTCCCCGTGGCATACCCAATATGCCAAATACCAGTAACAATGATGGGTCTCATTCTCTTAACCCTGAAAGAGCCTTGAATATGGCACTTTTTAAAAAATCTCTGGGCTAGGATGAAGGAGTCGTTACTGGGGCCTGCTCGAGGCAATCAACGAACAAGAGGATGGTTGTGATCGTGATCGAAGAGAAACCTATACCATGACCTTAATGGGTTCTCAGAAAGGGAAGCCAGAGATGCACCTGCTTAATTAGCATTACACCAGAAGTCTCCATCTCTTTCTTTTTACTAGCTGTAGAGTCATTGATTGTAGAGACGTGTTTGTATATGCCAGCTCGTCTCCTCCTAATGCAAATGAATTCTGTGGGTCCAGACACAGCTGCGGTGGGAACACAGGTGGTCTTCCATCTGTTGCACACACAAACACACACACACATTTGTCGAATAAATTCCCAGACGTGGAGGTCGTTGATAAGTACCTCTTCAGGGCACGGCAGTTCTGGAAAATGATATTGTGTCATGATTAAAAGCCTGAACTCTGAGCCCAGCCCGTGTGAGGCCACAGTCCTGCCTTTCCTCCTTAACCATGCTGTGACCTGGCACAAGTGACTTAAGTTACAGGGGCTTGTTTTCCTAATGGGTAGAAACCAGAGGGAGTCAGATCCCCTTTCTCCCGGGCTCGTGGGGGTGAAAGGAGGGAGTCTGCAGAGATTCTGCCTGATGAGAAACGTCAGTCACTGCTCTTGGTAGGGGCTCGCATCCTAAAATACCCTTGGCGGTCACTCCTGTCTTCCAAGAGCCACTCTTCTGTGTGGCTAGTGCTCCTGGGCAGAGGGGCAGAGGAGAGGGTCCCCCCGAATGCGGGGTTAAGAGGGAGCCTGCTGTAGGGGAGGTAGGCAGGCCCCTGCTCAGGGGGAGGAGGAGAGTCATGAACCTGTCGGGAGAGATCTGGCACTTTTCTACTGTGACCCACGAAGCCACTTGAGTGCGTCAGTGTCTCCTCTTTTGTTTCTCTAGAGCTAGACAAGGCTCCAGGTTTACTGTGGAATAAACACAGGTTCCTCCCCCACCTCCCCACCCCCATTATCCCAAGCAGAATATTCTGAAAGCTTTCCACTGGAATGGCAAGAAGAACAGAAACAATTTCCATTTTGTTTTTTTGTTGTTTTTTCTTTTTTCTTTCTGGGTCACACTCAGCAGTGCTCAGGGGTTACTCCTGGCTCAGCACTCAGGAATTACCCCTAGTGGTGCTCAGGGAACCAAATGGGATGCTGGGAATCGAAACCGGGTTGGCCGTGCGCAAGGCAAATGCCCTCCCCACTGTGCTATCACTCCAGTCCCTCTCATTCGTTTTGATGGCAAAATGTTGGCGTGTTCCTAGACCAGAAAAGGGGGAAAAATCACCCAGTGATACCAAATAACACCCCAAGACCAGAGGCAAGCAACAATTTAGTATAAGTTCCCGGCTGTGCAAAGCGGTTATAGAGACACGTTCTCAGGCTGGAGTCTGGCCCCAGGGGGGCACTTCCGTGGCTGTGAAGCCACGTGCTGACACAGTGATTTCACTTTTTGCCCGTTGTCATGACAGTGGGAACCCTCCCTGGAGTTCTCCCTGCCAGCAAGCGCTGGCACTTGGGCTGGAAAAGAATTTCATGGAAGGGTGATGGGCAGAAGGCCCATGTTTACAAAGAGTGGGCCAGACCTGTGAAGGAAGGTTTGGATGAAATCCACTCGAGAATTGTTTTCCTTCCTCTTCCATGCTTCCGGTGCTCCTTGGGTCTTCAGAGTGGCCTTACCAAGCATTTGAGCCTTGCTTTGGAAGTGGGGGGGGGAGTGGTGAGTCTACTGGGGGCCCAGGAGTACCTGTGAGGAGTGACGACGGCGTTTTGTTGCTTGTTTGCAGTTTGGGTATTTGTGTGTGTGTGTGTGTGTGTGTGTGTGTGTGTGTGTGTGTGTATGTGTTTTGTTTTGATTTTTCTTTTTGGCTTTTTGGGTCATACCCGGTGATGCTCAGGGGTTACTCCTGGCTCTGCACTCAGGAATCACTCCTGGTGGTGCTCAGAGAACCATATGTGATGCCGGGCATGGAACCTGGGTGAGCTGTGTGCAAAGCAAATGGCCTTCCCACTCTGCTATCACTCCGGCCCCTTGTTTGAAGTTTTAGGAAAGATGCAAATTGTCTTCCTTTATTGCTCTCTCTGCTTTCTCCCAGCCAGACCTGACTGTGTGATGAGTGTGACTGCTGAGAACAATAGTCTCAGGACCAGCAAGGCGAGATCAGCAGCTGATGGCCGGGTGGAGCGAGACTCAGAGACCAGACAGTGATGGAGGGTCCTGGACTTTGCATCTGCCCACTTCAGCCCCATAACTTTCTGGTTGGCTCTGCAAAATGTCCAGGAATCAGCTTCTGTAAAATGGGGATTAGTGCCATAATATCTGCCACCTGTCTGGGCTTACGAGCACATCTTGACAGCCAATCAGGGAGTGAGCAAATGGACAACCAGACCCTGAAATCTTGACCCCTTAAGTCACTATGGATGGTAAAACCATTACAGTATTATATTTTTCTAACATTCCTAGTTGATGCATGCCTAAGGAAAACCTTTGATTTAAACACACACACACACACACACACACACACACACACACACACACACACCTCAATTTTGAGCCACGTGAGAAAATTATAATGAACTTTTTCTACCATTCACCATCCACCATGTGTTTAAAAAAAAAACCTCTGTGTTCAAAAGAGGGGTGAGAGATAATTAAGGCACTTGTCTTCCAGGTGGCCTTCCCAGTTCGATAACCTGGCACCACATATGGTCCCCCTGGCCACCTCTGGGGAAATGGGTCTTCATTTGGAGAACAGAGTGGCCTTTTGTTTGGTTTGGTGGAATAAATATTTGAAGGGGGTAATGGAAGACGATGATGCCACCGTTATGATGCTATAGATACCCAGACTGACACTATTCTGGCAGCCTCTCTCCAGCAACATTATCTTCATGCGTCCAAGGTAACCCGAAGCGGCTGTTCATTTACTCGGCATTACCTGCCCAGAGACTGTAATCCAAGCCAGCCACGGAGTCGGAGACCCTGTCGGCCTCAGGGACGGGCGCGCAGAGAGCTGTCTGGCATGGCCATTCCCCAAGAAGAGTTAGCTGGCGAGTGAGTTCCCAGGGGCCATGCTCATGCCTCTGCTAGTTAGGGGAGAACCACTAGAATGTTCTCTTCAGGCTAGAGAGGAGCTATTTTTTTTTTTCCACAGGAAGAGGTGATCGGGCCATTCCGGAAGTCTCAGGCTTGTTCTCAGATCTAGGTTCAGGGGCCACTCCTGGTGGTGCTTGGGGGACCACATGTGGGGGCTGAGGTTTGAAGCCCGGCCAGCCGTGTGCTTGGCAAGCACCCTGCCCGTTGTCTGATCTCTCCAGCCCCCTTAAGAATAGCTTCTTAAAAAGGCAACTGGAGGTGATCTGAAGCCCCGGAAGGCTTTTGTTTCCCCTCCGTACGTCGCCAATGTCTCTCCGCAGGCCATGTCCACGTGGAAGTCCAGGCTTGCCAAAAGACTGACACTTCCACCGGGAAGGATGCATCCATTCCCCTGCTCCGCGCTGCTGGCTTGTTTTGGGAGCACGCGGGACAACCCTCCCTTCGACCAGCCCAGCGTGGTGGACGCTCATGCCACTGTCCATGGGCAGCCACATGCCAAGACTGGCCGGCACACAGGTCCCACACCAGGGGAGGAAGGAGCCCTGGAGCAGCGAGATGCCAGTTTACACACGGAGAGAAATGGTGGTGCCAGAAGGAATTCGAGTGACCACAGCACCGGTCAGCCCACTCGGCCACCTGAGGACTTGCCCAGCTCCCCAGACGGGGAAGCAACTCCCCTTCAGACGTCTATCCCCCGACCATCCATCGTTGAAATGCCAATGGTGAGTGAGGATGGCAGAGAAGGGGCAGTGTGGTGTTGGGACAGTGCTGGTCATTTGGAGAGTGACCTTCCAGAAACCCCCTGGTCACATTTCAGTGGTAAGATGCGGAGGGGCCATCGGGAGTGAGGGGAAGCGGGGCAGGGCTAAATGCTCAGAAAGTTCTCCGTGACCGCGGAAGGAAGCGGCAGGAGACACAGACGGAGTCCCCGAACAGCCGTGGCCCCCAAACTGACCTGTCATGGGGTGGCCAGGGATGGCCGGGGCCCCTGGATCTATCCCACAGTCTGGAATCCCCCAGGCCAGACTGGGCCGGCTTCTTTGCTTAGCTGTGTGTGAATTCCTTTCCATGAAAAGCCACAGTCCAAAAGCTTTGCTGACCACTTTTTTTTCTTTTTGGGTTACACCCCACGATGCTCAGGGTTACTCCTGGCTCTGCCCTCAAGAATCACTCCTGGAGGTGCTTGGGGGACCATATGGGATGCTGAGGATTGAACCTGGGTCAGCTGCATGCAAGGCAAATGTCCTCCCCACTGTACTATCGCTCTGGTTCCTGCTGACCACTTTTGAGAAAGGGCCTCTGTGTACAGGGCATTGTCCCATGACACAAAACATCGGGGGAAATTTGGAAACAGTGAGCACTGTATGCTGAGCAGGAATGGACTTAGAATCCTGCCTCTCACTTAGATGTGTCTGTGGCAGTGCTGAGACTTCAGGGCGGGAGAGGGGAACTACTTGTGAAAAACGGGGGCAGGGTACTGCTTTGAAGAGGGCTGCTCTTGTGATATTTATTTTCTTTCTTCCTGAAAATTTTTTTTTAAATTCCCATGGAGGCCTGTCCTGGCGGTGCTCAGCTGTGTGGAACTTAGGGACCAGTAGGGTGTGGAGAGGGCAGTGCTGAGGGTAAAACGTCCCAGGGCAAAAATGTGCCAGGCAGATGCTATACCACCTGAACCCCTGCCAGCTCCTCATACATTCTAATTGTTGGAGAATCTAGTTGCATTGAACTGCACAATTGTGTCGAAGTCTTGGGTGTCCCACAGAAAGACAGACCCAGATGCCCACCTGTGAATTTTCACCCTGAACCTTGAGCATTTCTGGCCATATTTCTTTTTTTTTTTAATTTTTATTAGTGAGACATCATGAAGGACAGTCGTAGACCTACAGATTTTTGTGCTTGGGTTTCAATTATACAATGATCAAATACCCATCCCTCCACCAGTGCCCATTTCCCACCACCACGGATCCCAGTATCCCTCCCACCCCCCAACCCCTCCATCCTACCCTGACTCTGTGGCAGGGCATTCCCTTTTGTTCTCTCTCTCCTTTTGGGTGCTGTGGTTTGCAAAAGAGGCAATGAGTGGCAATCATGTTTGGTCTATAGTCTACTTTCAGCATGCTTCTCCCATCCTGGGAGGATCCTCCCAACACCCTTTATTTGGTGCTCCCTTCTCTATCTGAGCTCCCTTTTCCCCTTGCACATGTGGCTGGCCTCCAAGCCATGGAGTAAAATTCCTGGTACTAAGCTCGCTCTGGCCATATTTCTAACTAGCTTCAAACCAGGTTTTTAAAGTGCTAGAACAGTGAGGAGGGTGCTTGCCTTGCTTGTAGCCTTCCCTGGTTTAATATTCTGAACCATATATATAATCCCCAGAACCCTGCCAAAAGCTGTTCCTGGGCACTGCATCAGGAGAGAGCCCTGAGCAGCACCAAGTGTGTCCACTACACCTCTCAAAAGGGGTGTCTGCTCATCTGGTGAGAGAGAAGACCTTGGCAAGAGCAGTGGGGGAAAGGAAGCCATTCAGAAATGTCATATGATCCCTGACTCCTCCCACGAGTGCTCCCCCAGTGAGCACAGGGCCAGGAGGCAGTCTGACCACTGCTGGGTATGACCCTAAAACAAAACCAGTTTCTCGTGACACGCTATGGGTTTATATCACATGATGGAGGCAGAGCCTGTAGCTTAATATTCCCCGATTCTGAGACTGGACAGTAGATTTCACCAAACCTTTTGTTACACCAAGAACTCTGGTGTTTCTTTTATTTTTTAAAAATTTAATTTTATTTACTTATTTAGTTTTTGCATTTAGGGTCACACCCAATGATGCTCAGGGGTTACTCCTGGCTCTGCACTCAGGAATTACTCCTGGCAGTGCTTGGAAGACCAGACCATATGGGATGCTGGGGATCAAACCCGGGTTGGCTGTGTGCAAGTGAAATGCCCTCCCTGCTGTGCTATCAATCCAAGCCCCTCTGGTGTTTATTTTCTTCTCTTTTTCCTTTTTATATTTTGGGTCACACCTGACAGTGCTCAGGGGCTACTCCTGGCTCTGCACTCAGGAAGTGCTTGGGGGACCATGTGGGATATTGGGAAACAAACCTGCACCAGCCGCATGCAAGGCAGACACCTTAGCCCCCTGGTGTTTCCTTTCTAAATCAGAACTTCCAAAAAAATCCAAACCCAAACCCTCAGAATGTTTGCTATTCAATTTGGAATTTCTGCTCACATCTACATTAAGATGTTTCAGGAGCCCTGCACTTAGCTGAGTGGACGTCAGAGCCAAGCCTCTGCTGCTAGCTCACTCAGGGCACTCTCATGGCAAGCGTCAACAAACCAGCTGCGGGAAGCATTTCTGGCTACCTGCACCTTGCCCTGCATGGCCAAGCAGTGTGGTGCAGAGGGTCTCTTTGGTTCTTTTGTTTTGTTTTGTTTTTGTTTCTTTTTGGGTCACACCTAGCAATGCTCAGGGGTCACTCCTGGCTCTGCGCTCAGGAATTACCCCTGGCAGTGCTCAGGGGGCCATATGGGATGCTGGGAATCAAACCTGGGTCGGCCGTGTGCAAGGCAAACGCCCTACCCACTGTGCTATCACTCCAACCCCTCTTTGGTTCTTTTTTTTTATTTTTATTTTTTTTTTAATTTTTGGGTCACACCCAGTGATGCTCATGGGTTACTCCTGGCCCTGTACTCAGGAATTACTCCCAGAGGTGCTCGGGGGACCATTTGGGATGTCGGGGATCAAACTGGGGTTGGCTATGTGGAAAGCAAACGCACTATCCACTGTGTTATTGCTCCAGCCCCACCATTTGGCTCTTTCTGAGTGGGATTTGTGATACGAGGCTCAAGGCAGATTCATGTATGGAAATACAAGAAATAGGGTGGAGTGATAGTCAATCCTCGGCGTCCCATTGGGTCCCCCAAGCACCACCAGGTGCACTCATTCCTGAGTGCAGAGTCAGGAAGTAATCTCTGTATCATTGGTGGTGGAAAATGGGCACTGGTGGAGGGATGGGTACTCGATCATTGTATAACTGAAACCCAAGCACAAAAATTTGTAAGTCTACAACTGTACCTCATGGTGTTTCACTAATAAAAAATTTTTTATAATGTAAAAAAAGGAAGTAATTCCTGAGCATTGCTAGGTGGAACTCAAAAAGCCAAAAATAATTAATTTTTAAAAAGGTTTTTTTTTTTTAAAAAAAAGGAAATACAAGAAGCATTGATGGTAACTGTGCACTTGTTGGGAGCAAAGCCTTGGTGGACTCAGAAGTTGGGAGGCCCTGGGGTAGTCAGCCCCAGCACAGGATGGCGCCTGAGTGCCTTAAAGATACCTGTACAGGGTGGGCAATGGCGTATTGGCTTCCAGAATGACACATTGTCAGGGAGACAGGATTCGAGATTGGTCTAGAGACTCACTTTTTGAACAGGAGGTCATGATCCCATGTAGGTTCATGTAACTGAATGCAGGGGGTCACGACAAGTCTTTAAAAAGTTTTAAAAAATTGCGTGTGATTTATCATCAGTCCATGTTTGATCTTTCTACCTATCTTAGAAACTTATAGATAGGTTTACCCCAGAGAGTGTCAGCATTTCACAAAGGGAGAAATGCTTAGCAAGTCCTGCTCTAAGAGTTAGGATTTATTTTATTTTTAATTAAAAACATTTAAAAAATTTGGGGGTCACATCTGGCGATGCTCAGGGCTGACTCCTGGATCTGCACTTAGAAATTACTCTTGGTGGTGTTCAGGGGACCCTATGGGATGCCAGGAATCGATCTGGATCAGCTGTGTGCAAGGCAAACTCCCTTTGTGCTATTGCTCTGGCCCTGAGAGAGGATTTAAAGTTAGACTTTCTCACTTCTTACTGTTCCCCTCCCTCTTCGCTTGATGGTTGATGTCATAATGCTCGTCACACACCTTGGTGGCACATATCCCAATGTGGAGCTCAGGGGTGAGGCCTGCATCTTTGGTCAAGTTGCTCACACACACTTGATTGCTGTGGCCTGAAGTCGTGCACGTCATTGTGTGACCTGGTGCTTCAAGGTGGGAATGATGAAGAGGCCCGAGGGGAGGCGAGTCCCAGGGATGTGCGTGGGAGAGGAAGTCATGTGGGACAACGGTGGCACCGACCCAGGAGAGGCAGATGGAGGCATGAGCTGGGCCCTAAGAACATGGGCAGAGGAGAGACATGCTCAGGTTCTATTCTGGCACCCCAGATGACCCCCAAGTTCCCAGGAGTCAGCCCTGAGCACAGAGTGAGGAGGAAGCCCTGAGCACTGCGGGAGGTGAGCCCCAAACCAAAACAACAATAAAAACCAAGACAGGATATACTTGTTGAATTTTGAGGACTGTTGGGGGATTGGGGGGAAGGGGGAACTGGCCCCACTGTGGGGTTCCTCAGCTGGAAGCACACTCAGAAAGGAAAGGCCAGGCCTGGGGGTGAGCAGAGGCTCAGAGGAAGGGAAGCTCCAACTCCCTCACTGTAGGTAACGGCCGTGGCAGAACATTACCCGTCAGCCCCACGTTCCGTGGCACTCGATACATTTGCGCTGTGATTTTCTATGCATGCGTGTCTTCTTCGGCTTATTTCAGCAACATGTGGTGGCTGTCAGTGTACAAGTCTTTCACCTCTGAGGTCGAATTTATTCGCAAGTGCTATTTTTTTTTTCGAAAATGTGCTTGTAAATGAGTTGTTTTCTCAATTTTCCTTTCAGCCTTTTCGT